GTTAACAGCAACACGTCATTACCACGAACACTTGGTTTCCTGACGAGTCATCCTCCTGCTCTTGATACCCCCTTCCTGGGTTTACTGAGCGATGCACATTTGCCATAGTTCACGGCTTCCACCCTGATGGCAGAGCTCCAGCTGCCATGGGCATTCAAACCACTGTCGCCGATGTGTCCACGGTTTCCATACTACTATCACAAGCACGACCACTCAGGTTACCAGCCACCGCAAGCACAACCACTCCAGTATCCAGGCACCACAAGTACGACCACTCAGGTTGCCAGCCAAAACAAGCACGACCATTCAGATTGCCATCCACCACAAGCACGAACTCTCAGGTTGCCAGCCACCACATGCACGACCATTCAGATTACCAGCAACCACAAGCACGACCATTCAGATCGCCAGCCACCACAAGCACGACCACTCAGGTTGCCAGCCACTACAAGCACGACCACTCAGATTGCCAACCACCACATGCACGACCATTCAGATTACCAGCCACCACAAGCACGACCATTCAGATCGCCAGCCACCACAAGCACGACCACTCAGGTTGCCAGCCACCACAAGCACGACCACTCAGATTGCCAACCACCACATGCACGACCATTCAGATTACCAGCCACCACAAGCACGACCATTCAGATCGCCAGCCACCACAAGCACGACCACTCAGGTTGCCAACCACCACATGCACGACCATTCAGATTACCAGCCACCACAAGCACGACCATTCAGATCGCCAGCCACCACAAGCACGACCACTCAGGTTGCCAGCCACCACATGCACGACCATTCAGATTACCAGCCACCACAAGCACGACCATTCAGATTACCAGCCACCACAAACACGACCATTCAGATTGCCAACCACCACATGCACGACCATTCAGATTACCAGCCACCACAAGCACGACCACTCAGATTGCCAACCACCACAAGCACGACCATTCAGATTACCAGCCACCACAAGCACGACCATTCAGATTGCCAACCACCACATGCACGACCATTCAGATCACCAGCCACCACAAGCACGACCATTCAGATCGCCAGCCACCACAAGCACGACCACTCAGGTTACCAGCCACCACAAGCACGACCACTCAGATTACCAGCCACCGCTAGCACACGACCATTCAGATTGCCATCCACCACAAGCACGAACTCTCAGGTTGCCAGCCACCACATGCACGACCATTCAGATTACCAGCCACACAAGCACGACCACTCAGGTTGCCAGCCACTACAAGCACGACCACTCAGGTTGCCAGCCACTACAAGCACGACCACTCAGATTGCCAACCACCACATGCACGACCATTCAGATTACCAGCCACACAAGCACGACCATCATATTACCAGCCACCAAAGCACGACCATTCAGATCGCCAGCCACCACAAGCACGAACTCTCAGGTTGCCAGCCACCACATGCACGACCATCAGATTACCAGCCACCACAAGCACGACCATTCAGATCGCCAGCCACCACAAGCACGACACTCAGATCGCCAGCCACACAAGCACGACCACTCAGATTAACAGCCACCACAAGCACGACACTCAGATTACCAGCCACACAAGCACGACCACTCAGATTACCAGCCACCACAAGCACGACCACTCAGATCGCCAGCCACCACAAGCACGACCACTCAGATTGCCAGCCACCACAAGCACGACCACTCAGATTACCAGCCACCACAAGCACGACCACTCAGATCGCCAGCCACCACAAGCACGACCACTCAGATTACCAGCCACCACAAGCACGACCACTCAGATCGCCAGCCACCACAAGCACGACCACTCAGATTACCAGCCACCACAAGCACGACCATTCAGATCGCCAGCCACCACAAGCACGACCACTCAGATTACCAGCCACCACAAGCACGACCATTCAGATCGCCAGCCACCACAAGCACGACCATTCAGATCGCCAGCCACCACAAGCACGACCATTCAGATCGCCAGCCACCACAAGCACGACCACTCAGATCGCCAGCCACCACAAGCACGACCACTCAGATTACCAGCCACCACAAGCACGACCATTCAGATTGCCAGCCACCACAAGCACGACCACTCAGATTACCAGCCACCACAAGCACGACCATTCAGATCGCCAGCCACCACAAGCACGACCATTCAGATCGCCAGCCACCACAAGCACGACCACTCAGATTGCCAGCCACCACATGCACGACCATTCAGATCGCCAGCCACCACAAGCACGACCATTCAGATCGCCAGCCACCACAAGCACGACCACTCCACCTGCCTCCAAGCACAAGCAGCTCCTCGTCCGCCGCAGCCCTCCACTCCCACCGGATCGGCTCGCTTCCCTCCACTCCAGGTTTAAATCTCCTCTCGGGGAGAATGAAAGCCATAATCCCGGTGTTCGAAACTTGTGGCTGATCATCCGAAAAGTTGGAATTTTCCCCGATTCAGATTCCAGCAATTTTCCTTCGAAAGACGGGCTGATTTGA